AAGAGCTATGCAAAAAGGGGGATAGATGACAGATAACCTGAGGAGGTTTCCATTAACAGTGACAAATGATCACATAGCTGTGATGCCACACCACGGCACAGTATGAAGCTTAAGAAGTCAAGAGAAAATGTCATATTAAACAGCGTTTGGTCTCTTGTAGTCCTGGAGCTAGAGTTGGTTCTTCCACCTTCAAGGAGATAGAAATCAGTACTAGTTTAAAGCATGGGTCCTAGACTCAGAGACACACGAATTTCAGTCCAACTTTGCCTTTTATTATGTATCTTGGACATGTCACTGTGCCTCTCTGCACCTCAGCTTTCTCATCTTTCAACAAGGGAAGTAAATAATATTACCAATTTCCTAATTTCAGATCAGGTATAAATGTGTATTTGGCACATATAAGTACCCAGCAAATGTTAGCAGTTATTAGCATCATTAGGATCTGATGAATCTTTTTTGTTTCGCTTTCTCTTTCAGGCTGAATTCTCGGAACTGAACCTGGCTGCCTATGTTACTGGGGGCTGTATGGTGGACATGCAAGTCATGAGAAACGGGACCAAGGTTGTCAGGTAAGGAGGACTGAGATACAGAAAGCCTTCATTTGAGACGTGTGTATGAGGTACCACACATAACCAACCCCTCTATCTAGTGTCTCTGACTTAACTCCTGCACTACTTGAACTTTCCCTTCCAGAATGTCTGCATCTAAAGACTTCTAAGTGTTCTTGCAATAAAAATGACTAGAGGCACAAATAATATGGAAAAGCAACTGGGGTGCCCTGGAATGAACCATGGGCTTGGAGAGAAAAGATGTGGGCTCCGTTTCCGGCTTTGTGGATCTGTTTGTGCATATTATTTAGTCTCTTGCCCTCTGACTCTCTTTGGCAGCGTGTTGATAGCAACACTGAAATAGAAATCATAAATGTGAGAGCACTCTATTAATTCTAAAGTGTGGCACAAATATAAGTATTTATTAGAATGAGCTGCATCCTGCTTTCAGCAGTATGGCAGGCTGAATGTTTGGAAAACCCCCTCCCAGGACATCAAACCTAAAAGTACTGGATATGATATTTTCCGAGAAATCTGTTTATAATACATGCTCAGCTGGAGGGGAAGTGAGAGAACTCTTCAAAAGCCCAGAAATGTCAAGAGAGTAGAAATTCATAAAAGAGGTAAATAGTCATAATAATATATTCCTGTCTAGTTAAGTACCCAGCGGATGATACAAACTAAGTCTAGTGAAGGTTTAGATGGGGAAGAAATAGGATTCAAATTTGGAGAAGTAGAGAAAACAGAAAGAACTACGAAGAAAAGGTGGCATTTTTTCCGAGCCTTGTCAATTGATGGAATATGGGCATTCTATGCATTCTAAGAGTAGGAAACAGTCTCTTCGTAAATACAGATAGGCCAAAAAGAAAAAGAAAAAGAGAAAGAGAGAGAGTATGTCTGAGAAATTATGATCATTCAACTAGTTCAGCCATTATTACTGAGTGCCAATCTTGTGTCAAGAAAGACATTTCATAACTTCCTATTTCCAATAATGGTGGACTAGATATTTGGACTAACTCTTCCACTTAAAACAACTTAAAAACTGGTTTCAAATAATCATCAAAGCCTTCAAAGAGTTGGAATGACAAAGTATAACCAGGAAGAGAATGATGGAGAAATGGAAACTCAAAGAGATAAATGAATATAAAAGCTACCTTTTCCTGAGTGTATTTGCTAAGTCTGGCAAATTTGAAAATTGGTTTTGCTAGCCCATCACAGGCAAGGGAGACAGAACTCAACACCCAGGGCCACTCCAGGTGGGGAATGTAATGGTAGACCCTTTCTACAATAAGCTGAGACCAAAAAGACTACACCTTAAAAGTGAATGTGAATTATAAGCAGATGAACCCTCACAAGTAATCGCAGAGTGAACTGCAATTGTATTGGTCTTCCAGAGAACGTTAAGCATTAAACTTAGTTTATAGTGGCCCTAGACATGTCAAAAATAAAAGCAAATCTTATGTAGAGGAAGACACTTTCATCCTAGCCTTCAAATAATTATTCAAATAATTGTTTTACAATAGCTAGCACATAGTCAAAGATAACCAGGCACAGACACCATTAATGAGAAGAAACAAGAATAAACAGAAAGAGACCCTCATATCTCAGATATTGGATCATCAGACTGAGATTCTTAAAAGAAAAAAAATCACACATATTAAGCTGAAAAAAAATCAGATTTGAAGATATCTGTAAGGAATAGTAAACTATAAAAAGTGACACGACCAATTAAAAAAATAAATAGAACTTCTAGAAATGAAAATATTAATAACTAAAATCATTAGTTGTATTGTATTTAACAGCATATTAGATACAACTGAAAAAGTGTTAATAAAGTGAAATGTAGAGCTGAAGAAATTATCCCAAATGAAGTACAGAGAGAAAAAAATTGGAAAAGCAGAAGAGATGGTTAGATCTCATGAGAAGGTCTAATATTGATTTAATCAGATTCTCAAAAAAGGAAAAGAAAAGAAAATGGAACAGAGGCCGTATTTTAAGAAATGATGGCTTGGTATCAGAAAGATACCAAACCACAAAAACAGAAGCTCAACAGATTTAAAGCAGGATAAATGAAAAGAATTCCACACCGATCCACAACAATGTAAGTGCAGACAGATGAAGAAAAATAAAAAACAGCCAGAGAAAAAAAGGCAGATTGCTTTGACTAGACTAACAGACTGACTGCTGGTTCCCAGGCAGCAGGGCTGGTGGCATGATATATTTAGGGGCCAAAAGAAAATAATTGCCAACCTATAATTCCATCCTCAGGGAAACATCTTTTATGAATGAAGGCAAAATAAAAATATTTACAGAGAGAAGACTCTCAATAAGGGAAATTGTAAAATATGTGCTTTAGGCAAAAAATAAATAAATGAAATAAAATAAAATAAAAATCCCAGAATAACATAGAGCAGCAAGAAAAATGAAGGGCAAAGTATGTGGTAAGTGTTAATAAACGTTGTCTTTAAATATAATGATAATAATAATTAATAAATGCCTTATGAAGGATTAAAATATATGAGGGGTAGGGATTAAAATACACAACCGTAAGTTGGTAGGGGCTGGGGGTCAATTAAGGTGTTCTGAGACCACTGTGTGGTCAGGGAGGAAAGTCAATGTATTGATTAACAACAGTCAAAGACAAATGATGTAATTCCTTGGTAATTGCTAAAAAAAAAAAAAAAAAAACAGAATGTGATACTTAAAAAGTACAAAAGAGGACAAAAAGAAATAGTAAAAGAAGAAAGGAAATACCAACATAGAACAGATGTTATAAATAAAATAAGGTGTAGACTTAAATATATCAGCAGGCTGATATCACTGTAAATGACTTGTACTAGCAGTACTGGTTATTAAAATATTGAATTATTTTTATACAAGTTGATAAACAGCTTCTGCCCTGAGCCCTCTGAATGCCTTCAGCCCCCTCACCCCATGGATGGGCATGACCATTGGCTGCTCTTTTGTCCTCCAGTTCGCCACACTCCTGATCCCCAGTCCATATCCTGTTCTTCCTATGGTCAGAGGATGCCTGAAATTGTAGGAGAGACACAACTTTGGAAGCGGTGGTGGAACCCCAGAGAGTAAATGCTTTGTTCCCTCTGTCCCTTCAAGGCTATAAATGCCTGAGTCCCCTGGAGTTGCCCTCTCATGGTCACTTGTGAGAATTGCAACCTCTACAAAGTGTGCCCTACTGGTAGTTAAATATTTATTAAACCACCAATCTATATCAGTACTTACATTAAATGTAAGTGGACTAAATGCTCTAATTTACAGAGCATCTACACAAGATTGTCAGAATAGATTCTTTAAAATCCAACTATATTCCATTCAAGAGATTTATCTAAAATGTAAGAATATAGGAAATTTGAAAGTTAAAGGACCGAAAAATATACATAACCATGGAACTACTGGGCAAAAGAAAGCTAGTCAATGTAGCTATATTAATATCAGGGGAAAAATAGACTTCCAGATGAAAAGCATTACCAGGGAAAAGAAAGAAATCCATTATGATAAAGGGTTCATTTACCCAGAAAAGATCATTTTAAATTTATAAGCACCAAATAAAACGGCCTCAAAATATACTTCAAAAATTGGCAAAACTACAATGAGAAATTAACAGTCCATCATCATGGGAGAGTTTGAGAATGGTGCTAGAAATACATATTCATTTACTTCTCACAGAAGCCTCGTTGTAGATGAGCCATCTTCTTCCTGAATTAACAAAATTGTTTACAAAAATAAATTTAAAAAATGTTTCAGGTGTTTTCTAATCAGCTATTCTCCCAGTATTTAGGGATGGCAGGCTGTAAAGATAGTTGTTACGAGCTGAATTGTGCCCCTCTCCCCACCCCGCCAAAAAAACAAAAAAGATATGTTAAAGTCCTAACCCCTAGAACCTCAAAATGTGATCTTATTTGGGAATAAGGTTATTGCAGATGTAATTAGTTAAGATGAGGTCATACTGGAGTAGTGTGGGCCCTTAATTCAACATAGCTGGAGTCTTTATGAGAAAAGGAAAATTTGGACACAGAGACATAGGGAAAATGCCATGTGATGATGGAGGCAGAGACTGGAATGATGCATCTACTAGCCAAGGAACACCATGGACTGCTTTCCATTACCAGAAGCTGACAGACAGACATGGAACAAATTCTCTCTCGGCCCTCAGAAGAAACCCACCCTCCCAGCACCTTGATTTCCAGCTTGATAACCTCTAGAACTGTGAGAGAATAAATTTCTGTTGCATAAGCCATCAGTTTGTGGTATTTGTTAAGGCAGCTCTAGAAAACTAACACAGTAGTGCTTCTCAAGTGCAGACAAACCTGGAAATATTGCTAAAATGCAGATTCTAATCCATTAGGTATTCAGGTAGGACCTGAGATTCTGAAATTTCCTATGAGTTCCTAGACGAAGACTTTGCTGCTGGTCCTGCAGACTTCAGTTCGAGCAGCAAGGGTGTGGACAAGCTCCCCCATGCCGTTACTGTTGGTAGAAGACCATGCCTTGGGTAGCCAGGGCTGTAAGGGAAGTGCCAATGCAGCCAAAGCCCTCAGCTTAAGGATCTGTGGGGGCCACAGAGATTTATTCTGTTCATGCCCAGGTTGGCGCTTACAGTCTCAGTCAAGCAGCTTGTTTTGGCAAGCCACAGGTGGCAGACCTGTGAGAACATGCACACAAACTAGGTACTCTCTGCCTGACTCACAATGTGTCTTGTAGGTAGAGAGTCAGTAAATTCTTCAGGTACATGGTCTTACAAAGTAAGAATTTTGAGCCGTGCTTTTGACTTGCAGTATATTCTTTCAAAGAGACTTGGGCGTCGAATTGAAAATGTTCCCTAAGCACTTCCAAGTGTGCAAAATGAGCAAGCCTAGACCTTCCAAAGGCTTCCTCCTGGGGCACGACTTCAGAGAAGTAACCAGGACCAGTGGTAGAGCAGACCACTGCTGGTTTTCTTCAGCATCTATTCTTTCTTCTTTGGGGAATAGCACCTAGGTCTTCTATTGGGGTAACCCCTCCCC